GGTGTTGCTAGGCCGTTGCTATGGTGTTCGAGGGTGGTTGCTAGGGCGTTGCTAGGCAGTTGCTAGGGTATCCTGGGCGGTTGCTAGGCGGTTGCTAGGGTGTTCTGGGTGGTTGCTAGGCAGTTGCTAGGGTGTTCTGGGTGGTTGCTAGGCGGTTGCTAGGGCGTTGCTAGGCGGTTGCTAGGGTAATCTGGGTTGTTGCTAGGGCGTTGCTAGGTGGTTGCTAGGGTATCCTGGGTGGTTGCAAGGCGGTTGCTAGGGTGTTCTGGGTGGTTGCTAGGGCGTTGCTAGGCAGTTGCTAGGGTGTTCTGGGTGGTTGCTAGGGTGTTGCTAGGGTAATTTGGGTGGTTGCTATGGTGTTACTAGGTGGTTGGTAGTTGTCAAAGATGGTTACTGTTGAGTTTGTAGCATTTTATTGGCATGATTTAGCACTTAGCTAATCAATATTAGCATGTAGCTATTCACTGCTAGCATGTGTAGCATGTAGCAAGTCCTGTTTGCTAGCATGAGTCAAAAGAGCCAACCCCCATCTCTATACGATGTTCTGATGCAGAGATATTGGTCTTGCAAAACGGTTGCTAGGGTACTCTGTTTGGTTGCTAGGGAGTGGCTTGGCAGCTGCCAATCATGAAGCTCCAAAGTCAATGTGAATGTATAAACCAACCCCCATCTCTATACGATGTTCTGATGCAGAGATATTGGTTTTGCAAAATGGTTGCTAGGGTACTCTGTTTGGTTGCTAGGGAGTGGCTTGGCAGCTGCCAATCATGAAACTCCAAAGGCTGCTTGTCACTATGAAAGATATAAACCAACTCCCATGCCTCTGTGACATTCAGAATGGACGATATTCCTCTTTGGATTTTGGTTGCTAAGGTGCTCGACAATGGTTGCTAGGGCGTGGCTAGCAAGTGTTGAGGTGATTCATGATTGGCTGTTTGCTGGCCCGAGTCAAACGAGACCACCCTCATGTTTCTATGACAATTCAGTCCAGAGATATCCCTTCGATCTCTTTCAATGGAAGTCTATGGGAGTTGTTGCTAAGGTGCTCTAAATGGTTGCTAGGGCGTGGCTTGATAGCTTCACAATGATCCTGAGAGACTGATTGGTTGTCTGAGTAAAATGAGCCCGCCCCCTTGTCTCTATGACACTGTGATCCAGAGTTATGTTCAATATAAAAGCGGTTTCTATGGTGTAGGACGGCCCATTTCATGGGCCGTCCTACACCATAGTAAGTCAATGGGGAAACTTTGGGCAGCTCCTGCACCCCAGGGGTGCAACTTTTACCCCATTGTGTGGTATGTTCTTACAGAGCCTGTCAGCCTCTTCAAATGTGGTAAATTACACATTTCTGCGACATCCTCGTTCCGAGCTACGACTCGTCAAAGTTTTTCGCAATGTTAAGTCTATGGGATTTTTTTGGGCCGTTTTTCGCCCCTGGGGCGACCATCGTACCCCCGATCTCTTAGAAAAGTCATAGCACACCATTCCCGAACAGGCCGCACGTTTTGACACCTCATTCATGGGTCTGTGACAAAAACTGCGGGAGGAGTAGCGCGTCAAAAAGTGGCCAGAAGAATAATAATAACTAGAATGTACATTTCCAGAAGAAAATGTGAAGTGGTGCTTGCAGTGGCAAAACTCGCCGCTCGGTTGCTAGAGTGTGGTACATTATTGCATACGAGCCAACAACCATGTCTGTACGATGTTCTGGTGCTGAGATATGGCTTATTCATGTGTTTGTATGGTTACTAGGGTACTCTATATGGTTGCTATGGTGTGCTTATACAGTTTATGAGATGATATTTAAAGACTAGTTGACAGTCTGAGTCAAAAAAGCCAAACTCCATGTTTCTACTATATTCTGGAGCTAAAATATGGCTTGTAAATGTAGTTTGATGGTTGCTAGGGTGCCCTAAGTGGTTGCTAGGGCACGGCTATGAAGTTATTATGTCACTACTTATTGCCTTCTCTATGGGCTGAGTCAAAAGAGCCCAACCCCAAGTCTCTACGACCTCCTGGTCAAAAGATATGATCTCACAAATTTTGTGCCAATGTTAAGTCTATGGGACTTTTTTCGTCCAATTTATCGCCCGCCGGACGATCATCGTACAACCGATTGCTTAGAAAAGACATAGCACACCTCTCCTCAATGAACCGGTCGATTTGACACCTCATTCATGGGTCTACGACAAAAGGTGCGGGAGGAGTAGCGTGCCGAAGTTTTATCTGGGTGAATAGTAATCACAATACTAGAATGTACATTTCCAGAAGAAAATGTGAAGTGGTGCTTGCAGTGGCAAAACTCACCGCTCGGTTGCTACGGTGTGGTACATGATTGCATACAAGCAAAGAACCATGTCTGTACGATATTCTGGTGCTGAGATATGGCTTATTCATGTGTTTGTATGGTTACTAGCGTACCCTATATGGTTGCTATGGTGTGCTTATACAGTTTATTAGATGATATTTAAAGACTAGTTGACAGTCTGAGTCAAAAAAGGCAAACTCCATGTTTCTACTATTTTCTGGAGCTGAAATATGGCTTGAATATGTTGTTTTATGGTTGCTAGTCTGCCCTAAGTGGTTGCTAGGGCGTGAATATGAAGTTATTATATCACTACTTATTGGCTGCTTGATAGGGCGAGTCAAAAGAGCCCAACCCCAAGTCTCTATGACCTTCTGGTCAAAAGATATGATATAACAAATTTTGTGCCAATGTTAAGTCTATGGGAATTTTCTTGGCCGATTTATCGCCCGCCGGGCGAACATCGTACAACCGATCGCTTAGAAAAGACATAGCACACCTCTCCTCAATGAACCGGTCGATTTGACACCTCATTCATGGGTCTACGACAAAAGCTGCGGGAGGAGTAGCGTGCCGAAGTTTTGTCTGGGTGAATAGTAATCACAACACTAGAATGTACATTTCCAGAAGAAAATGTGAAGTGGTGCTTGCAGTGGCAAAACTCGCCGCTCGGTTGCTAGGTTGTTGTACATGATTGCATACGAGCCAACAACCATGTCTGTACGATATAGTGGAGCTGAGATATGGCTTATTCATGGGTTTGTATGATTACTAGGGTACCCTATATGGTTGCTATGGTGCGCTTATACAGTTTATAAGATGATATTTAAAGACTAGTTGACAGTCTGAGTCAAAAAAGGCAAACTCCATGTTTCTACTATTTTCTGGAGCTGAGATATGGCTTGTAAATGTAGTTTTATGGTTGCTAGGCTGCCCTAAATGGTTGTTAGGGCGCGAATATGAAGTTATTATGTCACTACTTATTGGCTGCTTGATAGGCCGAGTCAAAAGAGCACAACCCCAAGTCTCTATGACCTTCTGGTCAAAAGATATGATCTCACAAATGTTGTGCCAATGTTAAGTCTATGGGACTTTTTTCGGCTAATTTATCGGCCGCCGGACGAACATCGTAAAACCGATCGCTTAGAAAAGTCATAGCACACCTCTCCTCAATGAACCGGTCGATTTGACACCTCATTCATGGGTCTACGACAAAAGGTGCGGGAGGAGTAGCGTGCCGAAGTTTTGTCTAGGTGAATAGTAATCACAATACTAGAATGTACATTTCCAGAAGAAAATGTGAAGTGGTGCTTGCAGTGGCAAAACTCGCCGCTCGGTTGCTAGAGTGTGGTACATTATTGCATACGAGCCAACAACCATGTGTCTACGATGTTCTGGTGCTGAGATATGGCTTATTCATGTGTTCAGGTGCTTACTAGGGTACTCTATATGGTTGCTATGGTGTGCTCATACAGTTTATGAGATGATATTTAAAGACTAGTTGACAGTCTAAGTCAAAAAAGCCAAACTCCATGTTTCTTCTATTTTCTGGAGCTGAAATATGGCTTGGAAATGTTGCTTCTAGGTGGCTCTAAACGGTCGCTATGGTGTTTTGAGTGAACACTATATATATTTTGATATATTTTTAACTAAGTTCCAATTGTATTTATTTATTATAAAGTCATAACAAGATTTCCTATCATTGTTTTAAATTAGATGCACTAGTATATGTATACATTATTACATTAATACTTAACTGCACATTAATACTTAACTGTTAGATTATATTTCATTTTCAATTTCATTTGTAGTTGAAATAAATAAAAAAGAAGTCTATTTTAAAGTTTAGAATTAAGAAATGAGAAAATGTTACAATTCCATAGTACACCATCTGGTCATCATTTTCATGAGCTTGTTCAGCGATCGCTTGACGCCAATGGTCATCAGGTCGCAAAATTTATTGGAATACAAATTTATGATCGTCTAAATATATCAATATCCCTCCAATTATGCACACTTCTGAATTAAAATGCCATTTGGATGTTGTTCAGTGAAGCTGTGTGAAGACACAAGTGTGTCTGAATATGAATACATGTTATTCTGTTCAAAGCATCAAACATTAACTGACCGTTGATATCCTGTACATGTAGCGGTCTTGATTTGATAAATGTTGAGTATATAAAGCTCATTTAAATGTAAGCTTTTAAATGACCCGGCCACTTACCATCTTAAAGAACCATCTGTGAATATACCTGGATCTTCTCTGAAGTTCACAAGAAAATATTCATAATGTGACACTGACTAACTTTCAATAACATTCAATAAAGACAAAAACACAGTGTGTGCCAATTAACCAAATGTTTATTTAAAAAAGATTTTTTTAAAATGCCTGTTGTGTCAAATTTCACCCAGCAAATGGATTAGTGTTTTACTAGTTATTAGATATACAGCATTACCCCTAAGATTATAAAAATCTTTTTTTTATTTTTTATTATGTACTAGTTTAGCCTATAGTGCTGAGAATTTTGTTGTGAATACATTTGTAAAAATGCTCTTTATTTGAATGAGTGGGTAGCTCTGAAAAGAGCCGTTGTTGCCTTTAAAAAGACATTTGGTTTCAACTTTGGAGTTCCACCCGCAGAACGTCTCTCAGGTTTGCTCAGGAGAAGCTGGTTTCTCTCTGCGCTCAGGTGATCTCTGTTTCTGATGTTTCTATGCTGAATGGCACGCATCTGTCTCCCTGGATATCCTGAGGGCAGAGGAGGTAAAACATATATGCTAATGTTAGTACATTTATTTGAATTGTTCAGATTCTCCAAGACTTATTGAGCAGCATAGTTGATGGGTCAGATGTAAGGCTTTAGTTTTTACATCAAATCATACATCTTTGAACAAAACCCATGGTTTTTCCTGCATTTAACTTTTTTAGCATTTATTAATCTTTGTTAGTGATTTTTACATTTACTAATACGGTACATTGTTCAAATCTAAAGTTGTAAGTGTTAACATTAGTAAATACAGTGAACTAACATGAATAAACATTGAACAGCAGTTTTTAAAATAAATAACATTGTCAAAAAGTTCATACTGGAGTGATTAAAATCATAAAGCACATTGTTGTTAGCTAGCTGTTAATTTTATTCAATTGTTAGCTATATGTTAGAAAATTAAGACTATTACTTAAGTCAAGTCAAGTCATGTCACCTTTATTTATATAGCGCTTTTTACAATACAGATTGTATCAAAGCGCTTCACAGTGATAACATGAAAACAATATAACAAAAACAATATAACAATATAACAAAGTTTGTTTCTAAAAGAAATTGCGTCAACGTCCACCTTAAGTAAGGCAGATCAATAATATTATTGAATATTAAATGTTAAATGTCCCCAACTAAGCAAGCCAAAAGCCAAGGCAACAGTGGCAAGGAACCAAAACTCCATCAGGTGACGGAATGGAGAAAAAAACCTTGGGAGAAACCAGACTCAGTCGGGGGGCCAGTTCTCCTCTGGCCAACGAAGGAACAGTGCATGATTCGGGCAGCATTACAAGTCAGATTGGATCGGAACATTTAGAGTATTTTTTGGAAGTCCAAGTATGCACGCCGGTCTTAAGACGAGTTGTTGAGGATCAGTGCCGTCCACCATAGAGAGTCCATATCGCCCGTGTTGAGTCGTCACTTCATAGGCTTTGTGATTGGAGCATCTGAAGTCTCCGTGAGAGGCTGGATACAAACTGGAGCTGACGAACGCCATTTTCTCGGGACTCGCGTCCCGAGATAACAGCAGAAAAGCAAAGGGAAAATAATTAGCGTAGCTGCTGTTCATAATGATGATTTCCATAACACAGGCGTAAAAGACAAAACATGAAGACATTGACTCTTGCGTCCCAAAATCACCCCCCTCCGTCCCCCACTCAACTCAGCCCAGCTTACTGACCTCTACGTCCCTCCTGCTGCTGAGACCTAACCACAATCTCTTGTGGTCACTTAAACCTTTTGATGCAATTATTTTTAGTTTAACTTTTTAATAGCAATATGATTATATAACAAAATTATGAAATCCAGTGCTAAAATCTTTTTTTTAATAAGAGAGCAAGATAGGACAACAGTGTCTGTTGGCCACCAACGAAGACATTTTTTGACCAGGGAAAACGCCTGAAACCATTGTATAATAAAATGCACTGAAATACTACACCTTATCAGTAGTATTGACCTCAGTGTGCTTCTTCCTCTGCTTCTTCATTCTTCAGAGTTGTCTTCAATGCCATAGATATTTGGACCTGTTCTCTGGTAAAGAAATGAATAAATGAACAATGGGATCACTAAAACACCCGTAGTAATAAACAAAACAAAAAAACTCAGAAATAAAACTTACGGAAAGAAATTGGCACATAATCTGGTATCCAGCTCGTCATCGTCATTGATGTAGCACACGTGATCTTCTCAGACAATCTCACTTCATTTGGCTGGTTCCTAAAAAACATAAAAATCAAAATTAGAGATTCAAATATAACATTTCCATTCAAACGCAGTTATGAAAAGCAGTAGTACACAGACTGAAGCAAAATCTTTTAACACTTAGCTTTAGAAGGTATATTGCACACAGACAGGACTGCTATGGTCTCCCAATTCTTCCTGCAACTTTACAGAAGAGTACATATCAATCATAGAATAGCAGGGGACTGCATATCCCGCACAGATTGTCACAAATTGTGTAGATTGAACATCAATTGAAATTACAATGTATGTTATAAGGTCAAAATCAAACATTACAATGGTGGCTACTTCTCTCTTTCCCTTGTCTTTTATAACTTACTGCCACTGTTGCTCTGACTGTCTGTGTCCTCCCTGGAGCTGTCACACTCCTCCTCCGTCCTTCCTGCTACTGCTGAGGTTGCTCCTTCGTAGCTCAGTGGTATAAACCCTTGGCATGACCTAACCACAATCTCCTAACCACAAACATGAAGACATTGACTCTTGCGTCCCAAAATCACCCCCCTCCGTCCCCCACTCAACTCAGCCCAGCTTACTGACCTCTACGTCCCTCCTGCTGCTGAGACCTAACCACAATCTCTTGTGGTCACTTAAACCTTTTGATGCAATTATTTTTAGTTTAACTTTTTAATAGCAATATGATTATATAACAAAATTATGAAATCCAGTGCTAAAATCTTTTTTTTAATAAGAGAGCAAGATAGGACAACAGTGTCTGTTGGCCACCAACGAAGACATTTTTTGACCAGGGAAAACGCCTGAAACCATTGTATAATAAAATGCACTGAAATACTACACCTTATCAGTAGTATTGACCTCAGTGTGCTTCTTCCTCTGCTTCTTCATTCTTCAGAGTTGTCTTCAATGCCATAGATATTTGGACCTGTTCTCTGGTAAAGAAATTAATAAATGAACAATGGGATCACTAAAACACCCGTAGTAATAAAAAAAAAAAAAAAAACTCAGAAATAAAACTTACGGAAAGAAATTGGCACATAATCTGGTATCCAGCTCGTCATCGTCATTGATGTAGCACACGTGATCTTCTCAGACAATCTCACTTCATTTGGCTGGTTCCTAAAAAACATAAAAATCAAAATTAGAGATTCAAATATAACATTTCCATTCAAACGCAGTTATGAAAAGCAGTAGTACACAGACTGAAGCAAAATCTTTTAACACTTAGCTTTAGAAGGTATATTGCACACAGACAGGACTGCTATGGTCTCCCAATTCTTCCTGCAACTTTACAGAAGAGTACATATCAATCATAGAATAGCAGGGGACTGCATACCCCGCACAGATTGTCACAAATTGTGTAGATTGAACATCAATTGAAATTACAATGTATGTTATAAGGTCAAAATCAAACATTACAATGGTGGCTACTTCTCTCTTTCCCTTGTCTTTTATAACTTACTGCCACTGTTGCTCTGACTGTCTGTGTCCTCCCTGGAGCTGTCACACTCCTCCTCCGTCCTTCCTGCTGCTGCTGAGGTTGCTCCTTCGTAGCTCAGTGGTATAAACCCTTGGCATGACCTAACCACAATCTCCTAACCACAATCTCTAACGCCACAATCTAACCGCAACACGACCATACGCGCCAACCCGTTTGATGAAGGCTTTCGAAGATCCGCTGATGTCACGTATCCAGGTCCATTGGCAACGGTTCCGTATGGCATAACAACCCGACCATACGCGCCAACCCGTTTGAATAAGGCCGTAGAAGCCCCACTGGTGCGTTATAAAGCAGTTTCAGTGGCAAACGGTTCCGTATGGCATACTAACCTACCACCAAACACAACAATATCGGTCCACCAAAAAAAGACGAATTAACGCAAAACACAGTACACGGGATTGTGATAGCTATGATAGGTATGCAAGACACCTGCCTGAAGGCACAAATCCGGACGAGAGACGTAAATATGATCCAATAGGGTGTTCTTTTTGGTTGTTGCTGTGGTGATCAGTTGCGTGTATCCTTTAGACTGAAACAATTCCAGAACAGTTTTTTTCCCTGCGCAGAGGAGATCCTCATTAAAATCTCCACAGATTACTGTGGGATGTTCGTCCACCATGTCCAAATAATCCAGCAGACTCTTCAAGTTTTTCGAGAACTCTTCAAATCCGTAGTGTGGCGGCCTGTACACAGCAGCGATTGTTGCTTTGATCGGGCTATCCACTTTGATGACGACATACTCCAGATCGGTCACATTTTGCACAAACTGCCTAGCCTGAGCTGAAATATGCTCTTTGCAATAGATTGCGACTCCACCACCAGCTTTCTTTGCAATTTCTTGGTGTGTCGAGTAGGAGGCATGTCTGTTTCGCATAAATGCGTTGTACCCTTCCAATTGGACGTGGGGTGATATGAGTGACCCGGTCAGGTGAGTTTCCGTCATGCAAAGAATATCCGACAGAAGCAGTTCGTGATGGCATCGGATATCTTCGATGTGGGATGACAGTCCTTCTGTGTTGTGATGAATTATTTTAAGTGTTTGATCCAATTTGGTTTCCCTCACCTGCTGTAAAAGCGGCATGATTCCTTCGAATGATGCTCTTGTCATCTTTCCCAACGATGCTGTGACTGTAGCATCGGCATAGATCTTCTTTTCGCTGAAGTCCGTGATGTGTAGTCCACGAAGCGAGGTCGTTCTGCTGAGGGCAACGTAGGCCATTCCCGGCTCGAAAATCTTCTTCAGTGAAACCACGGCATTCTCCAACGTCATGCCTTGGACTTTGTGAGCTGTGCAGGCGTAGGCCAACTTGATGGGGAATTGTCGACGAACCGCTCCTTTCCTTAGACTTTCTTCGGATCTCTCGATGTACACAAAGTCGTCTTCTTCACCTTGCACCCTTTTGCGGTGTTTCTTGCCTGCATGTGGATTGTCGAGCTGAAGCCCTAGCATGTGTACGGTGTCGATTCCATCTTTTGTCTTATTGACAATACGAGAAATCTTCCCAAAGCACCCATTGCATAACCCGTCCTCGACATCCAAATTCCTAGTCAACATTATGCGTGCTCCCAACGCAATTTGTATGGTGTCAGGCAAGTCGTCCTTTTTACCGGTGACGGGCTTCGTTTGTCTCTTCATCCCTCCCGTTCTTGGGTCTTTCCTGTAGTCTTCGGCATCGATGGTAATGATGTCAGTGTGAAGAGCATGGATTGTTTCAGTGTTGTGTCTGTGGACTTCCTTGTTGGTGGCAAATACGTGCAGTGCATCACACGGGCAGTCTTTGGGGTCCTTCACAGCCTGGAGCAACAAAGCTCGATCTTCTTCGGCAAGCTCGTCGGTCTTCTGCTTCACCCGTATGCGGTTTAAAAGTTGGGCAAAAGCCAAGTCTTCTTTCTGACGCATGATCTCGGAGAGAGTAACCATTTGGAAATGGTCTTTCCAGAAGTCCAAAACATCGTCTTCGTACACGCAGAGTGGTTTGGCTTTGCCCAGAGGTGGCAGTTGATAAAAGTCTCCCACGGCGAGGACAGAGATTCCCCCGAAAGGTTTCTTGCTGCCTTTGATTTGTTGACATCTCCAGTTTATGTAGGCAAAAAGATCCTTCGAAATCATGGACACTTCATCGATGATAAGAATCTCCACGTCGCGTAGTGTTGCTCGTAGTTCATCTAGGGCATTTCCAAGTCCTTGATACGGTGGCTTCAGATTCCTTGGAAGTTTTAAAATCGAATGTAACGTTTTTCCATTAATATTGAAGCTCGCGGTTCCGGTAAACGCACTCAAGAGCACCGTAGGCACGGACAGATCTCCTTCCTCCCGCAGTCGAGGCAGTTGACGCAGAATCTTGGTCGCTTCCGTGTATATGCACTTGATGACGTGTGATTTGCCACATCCAGCACCACCTGACACGAAGTAGAAAAACTGTTCTGGATTATGACCCCAGACACGCTTCTGACACCACTGGCAGACCGTGTAGAATATGGCTGCCTGCGTCTCGTTTAGACTCCTAAACAACCTCCTGACGAATTCGACGCTCATCTGCGGTGCCTCTATTTGTGGCACGACCCCGTCTCCATGTTCAAGAACCTGGAATTCTGGGACATCATCTTGTACGTCCTCATCATCCGGAATGATGTCTTGTCGTTCAGCAATGCACTCCAAGCGATCCACTTCTACTTCAGGTGCAAAAGCGTTCCATGCGTTCTCAGACGGTCCTTGCTCTTGCAGCTGATCGAATGCCTTGTCCAACTCTTCGCTGTGTTTTTCAAACTTCTCCTTGTGTGCTTGAACTATGGCACAGACAGGGATCAGCAAACCAGGGTGAGTAGGTAGTTCCACCTTTGCACCTTTGTAAAACGTCTCGTATGTTGGAAATCCTGGAGGTTTTAGCTGTTCGTTGTTCCGATGTGGCATATAAAGCTTCAGTAATCTACCGTAAAACTTTTCCGGTTGTTTTTCCTCAGAATAACGTGCAAATCTAATGACTGCAGCCTTCCCAGACGTTCTTTTCTGAAAAAAACCCATGCCGTTCAGCAGCCGGTGAACATTTTTGCCTTCCGTTTGCTGACCGTACACGATGCGGCACTCCGAAGCAAAATCTGCCAGGCACATCTTTTCAAAATCACGCGCTAGAGGCCTTGCTCTGTATTTATCGATCATCCCTGACATCCACACATCCTCGGAATCGGGATTTTTATTTTGTAGGACGCTTAAGGGAAGACTCATCTTTAGCGCGTCATCATCCGTCGGTAGAAACACAACACTTCGTGAACACTTCTTCAACGGTAAGCTGCATGTTCGTGCCACAGACTCCTGAGCGCTAACTTGCCTGTGTTTGGAATATGCTTGCATTATCTGCTTCATCTCATCTGCCTCGCTAACGTTCGTCTCGCGCACACTCTTGATTACGTTTTTAAGTAAATCGCCCATTTCATGCTCCGGCTTGGAAATATACGAAAGCATGTACATAACGCAGCTAAAAGCGTCAATAACGAACTGAATGTCCATATTGGCGTTCCATGCCCTTAATAAATCGGGATTGTATCCATTCACCCAAGCCTCCTTTGGATCACGCTTCAGCAGAATCACGTTGGCATTGGACAATGCTTCGACGTTGTCACTGTAATCCTTGATGGACATCTTACACG